TTTAATGATTGGCTCCCACCATATCTGCCAGGCCTTATCTACATTGTATCACCTGAAGAATGAACTGGCACTCTTAATTCTCTGCTGAATACATTGACACCCACGTGGAGATTTGACTGCTAATAGGATGTCATCTAGTGCACCCTGCACTTCTGCTCACATGAAGTGACATGTTAACTCACCCAAGTCACTTGTGTGTGTTTCCAAACTTGCTTAGGCTGGTAGAACTTGTTACTGAATTTATGTTATACAACTTGTTATTGGATTTATATTATACAAGTTTATGAAATGTGAAAAGAAAGATGGGTATTGATCTATGAGAATTACTTTGTTTTATAATTTGTTTTATGAGACTTGATAATGATATATTGAAAGAATATTGCTAGCAAATTGGAGTGGAGATCTGATGATAAAAGATGACAGAGGGAAATCTTTAAAAAGCTAGGCCTCTACACTTAGCTTTCTTTGAAGAGAGACTTAAAGTCCTTTATCATTTTTAAAGAAAGCAAAACTAGAAAAAGTAGATGAAGTGCTATTGGTGTGTGCTGCCTAAAAAAGACAAAGTAAAGCTACAATCGATAACCCCACACTCAAAAGAATGACTTGATCTTGTAACATGCATAGTCTGATGTTTGTGTTCTCCCCAAATTCATATGGTAAAATCCTAACTTCAAGGTGATGGTATTAGAAGTTGGGGGCCTTTGGGGATGATTAAATCATGAGGGACTTCCATCCTCCAGGAGTGTGAGAAACAGATTTCTGCTATCAGTTTTAAGTTACCCAGTCTATGCTTTTCTGTGTAGTAGCCCAAATGAACTATGACATAACAAATGAGTAGTTAACGAATACGCAAAACTCTTTGTATACTGAATAATGAATATTAAAACTCTTGTACATTATTCATATATTTTAAATTAAAGTAAAATGTTTGAGGTAAATATATGTTATTCTTTTGTGAAAGCACCCTTTCTCTGACTTTCTGGAGTCACTCACACTGTGTTGGTCACTCTCTAAATATTCCATATGTGCTCACATCTCCATTTGAACTAGTGTTTCCTCTGCCAGGAAACCTCTATCAGGCTCCCTTATCTGGCACTTGTCCTGCACTACTGTATCAAGTATGACTGCCTTCAAATCGCCCCTATGTGGCACTTTTTCCTTAATGCATTCTTCACCTGTTTTTGTTGTTCTTTTTTTCCCAACCTCACACAGCAGCAGAACCTCCTTCTTATATTTGAATGACACCCTACTCTCTGAAGCAGTGCCTGCCTCTTATGCAGATGAAAATGCCAGTTATTTTCTTTTCCATTACTCATTGCTTGGGCTCAGACACAGGAGCTTGGGTTTGTTGCCATCAGGCACAGGTTACGGCTCTGTTTTTAAAGCCCACAGCCAGGGATGTGAAGCCACTGGGCACCGCTGATGAGATTACTCTGGGCTAGTGGCAGTGTTGGAGGTGGCTATTTTCAGTTTCTGGAGGTGGCAGTGGCAGAGATGCAGGGTGGTTCTGTCTCTGAGACCAGTTCTTTGATCCTTACAGGTATTCTGTGAGCCTCCTAATGGTGTTTAATAAATTCCTTTTCTGCTAAATGAGCCAAAATCAATTTCTCTTGTTTACAGTTAAAAATGCTGACTGATATTTTGCATTAAAACAACAGTATGACATTGTAACTGTTCCTATGTGTTTTTATCCCCATGCAATTTCATGCTGCAAGTGTGAAGTTTCCTCTCTGTAACCCCAGTGCCTAACACAGTGCAAAGTAGAGCAGAGCAGATCTCAATAAATCATTATTAATTAGTTTGTTAATTGATTACTTAATTGATGAAAAAGTTCCTCTGAAAGTCTAAACTCATAAAGTGACAGCAAATGACATCAGAATGTTTCCAGTGGCTGAGGAGACATGTGATTCATTCTGAGTGTCCCTCTATCTGTAGTTTTCACAGAAGACAAGCACAGTCACAAAGAGTTCCATAGCATTTAATTAAATATGAGATGATAACACACATTTTATACTTATATACTTAGCAGCTCTGCAAAATTTTGTAATGCATGTGGAAAGTACACAGTCAGATCAGAGACCTTCACTGTAGTGAACAACGGATATTTTGAAGAATAACCCCAAAGAAAAACTGCTGAGCTGGCAAAAAAGCCACCTAACCTGCATCATTTCCAGATGCCCTGCCACGCATCCTTCCTGGCCAGTTCCCAGCCTTGTAGCCCCTTTAGAAGAGCTAGGAAAACACAAGTATGCACATCTGAAACAGCCATACTTGACTTTTCTGAAGCAAATTCCCATGGAAACTAAACTGAAGGATGAGGCAAAGGCTAGTAGAAAATCAACTGATAAGCCAGGGTGCCTTAGACCCAGGCGTGGTTGTTTGACCAAATTAGCTGCCTGTTTCTCAGTTGTCTTTTCATGTCAAGCTGTATAGAACTGGAAATTTGCACCTCTAATTTTTACATTGTCTCCGACCAGTTTTTCTTTCTCCACGAAGTGCAGAAGAGGGCTGGGCAGAACCAATTAGTAATCTTACATTATACATTGTCTCTGAGTATATATTCAAGCATTAGCAGCAGTTGTGATTGTAAAAGTATAATACATGTATTTTAAATGCCTCCAATAACAAACAGACACTCACACATTAAATCATGATGATAACATATGCCGAACAACACTGAAACAACGGATTTTAGTGCCGGAGGGACCTCAATGTTTCTCTAGTCATCTCTTCTTCAAGAGATTGTCTGTTTACATCAGGGATACAAACTTATGGCTACCAGTTCTGACTTAACATTTGAGGCTGAGTAATTTATCCATCTTCTCCATGTTTCCATTTTCCCATGAACCAAAGATAATAATAATAAATACTTCAAAGAACTTTCATGAATGAGGTTTGAGAGACATTGGGCATGAGATTTTGTGTAGCCTCCTTGCTGAGACTTGGCCTCCATTTCTACAAAAGGTAAAGAACCCCAACCAGCTGATGGAAAATGTCTTTTGCTCCCTACATACCAAGCAGATTCTACTTTCCCTCCATGCAAATTTATATCATTTTTTGTGGCATTTTCCCTGACTTTTTCTAACAAGGCATTTTCAACATGCCTCCATTAGAGTATTTTGCATTATAATAATAATTTGTTTACCAAGATTTTGTCAAACTTTATGAGGCAGTGTGAAATCTGTATTTGTCTTTAAATCTCCTGCACCTCACACCACAGTTCACACATAGCAGGCTTTCCATAAACACTTGTCAAGTAGATGAGAGAAAATGCCTATGGAAGTGTTTTGAAAATCACAAATGCACTAAGAAAAGCTAGGGGGTTATGGTATTGTATTTATTACTAATAATGCAGAGTTAAGCACTTTGGAAAGAAAAACGTTCATCTGAAGAATAAGATGGTCTGATTATTACTAGTCCTTTACACCAACCAATAAGGTCCATTTATCCACAACTGAAAACACCATTCACAGACATCACAAAACAAAACAAACAAGAAAACTAAAATACTGAAAACACTTTATCCCCTAACTAAAATAAAAACAGAACAAAGAAGATAATTCTTCCCTGTTCAAACTGTAAAAACAATAACAAATCCCAAACAAAACCCTGAACCTATATTTGTCTTTTCTTCCCTGTGCAGCCTCTGCCCTGGGTGGTTCTGTGAACAGCCAGACTCTGGGGACCTATAGAAGGGAATTAACTGCACTTCCCTGAGCTGATATTGCTCAGCTGCCTTGATTTGCTGTGAGCTAGCCATCAGAAATTCATCTAGACCAAGAAAGGCAGGAGGACAAATGTCAGATTTTAATATTACCGTTCTTCTCTATGTCTTCAAGATCATAGCTATGGTACGTTCACTCACTGCATGTGCTTGTATCTCCTCTTTCTTGAAGTTTGTGGCAACATCTAAGAATGGAAAGCTTGGGCCAATTTGGGAATGAATTTGACTTGGGGCGGTATCCACCCATGGGAGAGTTTTCCACCTGCTAACTTGCCAAATGTACCCATGCCCAAGGTCAACGACGGGTTCTTCTGAGATCATGGATGGATGCATTTGGATGGCAGCAGCAAGAGGATCATGATCTTGGTAAATAAAAAGAAATTCTACACTTCTAATTTATTCCCTCTTGAGTTCATTTTCAGAAGAATGAAATCAAATTGGAATTCTGGCTTTTTCTTGCCTTCTTCACTTTTTTTTTTTAACATGGCTGGCCATAGTGGTTCACATCTACTTTCTTACTCATAGTCATTTTAATTCAGATGACCATATGTCCCCATTTGTCTGGAACAGCCTCCTGGTTTTTGCTTGTCGTCCTGGAGTGATTATGTATAACTTCCTCTTTCATTTTCAAAGTGGCCCAATTTGGATAATAAATTATACAGTCACTTTATTAGTGAGGTTTGGTACTCTAGAATGGGACAGTCCCTAGTAAAGAGAAAGGCACATGGCTCAGGGAACTGCAGAAAGACTCCTAGACATCAGATCTAGGCTCTACCCCTCATTGAGTGAGCAACCAGGACAAGGTGCTTAACCACTTAACCCCTTAGTTCTCTGTGTAGTCATCTATAAAAAAGAGAGTAACAATAACAATTGCATCCAGGATTATTGTGAGGATGGAGTGAGATAAGTGCATACAGCACTTGCAAAGCACTGGATACATAGTAAGTTCTAGTAATGGTAACTATCATTCTTTTTCTCCTTTCTGTTGCTCTCTTCCTGCCTTCCTTGCTCCTCCATCCTGCCCTTCACTCTTTTTTTTTCATTATTGCCTGATATTTTTTAAAATAATAATTGAATCATTGGGTCACCCAAAACCTTGTGACCCAATTGGTGTGGTGGAAGCAGAATGCCCCTGCCTCATGTCAAGTGCCACTGAACTAGGGAAGAGTGATCAAAGCCATGTCTCAGAGTCCTGTGGACTACATAGTGAGGTTTTGTTAATTTTGTCTTCTTTGTGCTATGAGGGAGAGTAGGAGTTCTAGGCTTTTGCTTTTGGTCATCTTTGTTGGTCACCGTGGATTCAGTCTGGGTTTCTTACAAATCACTGGTTTTGGTAAAAACTGGACATGGTGACGTAGGCTTCTTCTTGGCTTGGTCCCAGGGAAGTGAGAATAGGCAGGCCCTGAGAAACTGGGTTCAATGTCAGGATTGCTGATTGGAGAGAAAACGGAGGGGGCAGGGTGCTGTTTGTAGTCTCAGAGCTAAGCATCAGGTGCTGGTACACATGAGGACCGTTCTTACCACTCTCACTACAGCCTGGGGACCTGGAGGAGGGAAGTATAAGGGAATCACAAGCACTGACATTCCCAGCCAGGCACCTGAGGGGTGAATCTCCTTTGAAGGTTTCTGGGGTGATGATTGCATGCTCAGATGGCCAGCTGGGACCCTGTACGCCCCCTCCAAGCCTCTGCTTCTCAGACGCCTCTGGCTGTGGAGGGAAATTGTCTTGCAGAAAACCTTCTACTTCATCTCTAGCTTGAATGCCATCCACCTTATGAATCTGGCAGTCCAGGAAACTTTCAGGATTGAAACTCACATTCAAATTCTGCACAGAAAAAGAGAAAAGGCATTAAGATGACAGCAGAGGAATGTGCCACCAAACATCAGTTCAGGAAAAAACCAAAAGAATATTCTGCCAGGGAAGGTCAGATAATTGCCCGCATGTTCCTCAGCTGACTCTTTGCCCCTGGAAGTGCTATGACACTTCAGGATTTGAAATGACCACTGGCTATGCCATCCAGCCCTGGGAAGCCCAGAAGTTCTTACACATAAATCTCATCTTACTTCTCTAGGGCAGCCAGGGTCTTATGGAGAACCCTAGTTATGGTACGCATGAAAGACCAAAAGTTGAGGTCCAGCTGTTCCTTGTCCTGGAATATCATTCTTGGCCACCAGAATGCTGACAACAGAGTGCTTTTTTAAGCACCCAAATCACTCACCTTTCTTGGCTTCTTACACAGTTGTTCCAGAGTTTTCTTATGATCAGGGAGACTGGGCCACACAATAGACTTAATCCTGAAATCAAAGGACATTGACAGATGGGATAAATAGCAAGGGTGCAGACACAACGAATCTCTCCATTTATCAGGTTCTTGGTTAGGATTCCCAGTGAATTTCCACATTTGATGTCATAAGAGGCAACAATATATAAACTAGACATAAAGTAAGCCCTTTTCTCAAACTAAGACTTTTCTGTATGGCATTGTTTGGAATCAGAAGGGAACAGGAAAGCAGATTTCTAGTCTTGATTCTGCAACAACTAGGTGGGTGACAGTGGTCAAGGAGTTTGCTTTGTGGGCCTTATTGCTCTTTCAATCCAAGGAGGGGTAGAGCAGAGAAAACTGCTATTATTCTATTCTGTGAATGAAGACAGGACAATGAGATACCTCTGGGAATGAACCCTAGAGGGAAGGAACACTGAAGCAAGGAGGTACTTTTGGTGGAGCTATGAGACTACAATTTGACCCTGATCATTTACTCTCAGTATAAGTGTTATCTCCCCCCCCCCCTTTACTGGCAGCAACTCTGCCCTAATTTTGGTCTTATCCTGGGATAGAATGCAAAATCCCATGAATTTTTTTGCTGGAAGTCAACACTTCAAGTACATTCTTTATTATCCATGGATGATGGCTTCTATACCTTTTGGGAGACTTTGGAGGAAAACCTTGGCAAACAATGCCTTAAGAAAAGTTTTTACTTTAGAGAAAAGGGTTTGCCCTATATCCAGTTTATATATTGTTGCCTCTTATGACATAAAATGTGTAAATTCATTGGCATCCCAGGATGAGAAGGAATATTGGGCACTATAGTTCCTGCAATGACATTCTCCTTATAATTGTCTGAGATTCCACACAATCACCCTCTTGATCAGTCAAAGAAAGTCACCTTTTTTTCCATAGTACACAGGCCAAGATGACCAACAGAGCCACAGAGAAGAAACTCAAAATGCTGATGGTTAGTAAAACAGGATTTATCTCCCCTGAAATATAAGAATAGATCATGGTGAGTATTCAGTAAGCATGTAGTGGGGCAGACTTTCAGGATGTTTTGAGTTTATTTAGAAATATAGGCTTATTCATTATTTCTTGAAAGTTGCTCTACAGTAAACAGGATGCTTTATGGGGAGATTTTGGCTTCATTGGCACTGATTTGGGTGACCAGACCCAGAATATCTGCCACTTGAATGTAAAATGATCTAGCATCAAAAATACCACAACTCCCTCTGCTTTTCAACTTTCCACCATGGGAAAGAAAGCAAGGCGATGAGATAGATGTTCACCCCAGTTACAGCAAATTCTAGGAAGAGGATGAGAAGCTGGTATAGTAGAATAGTTCCCTCAAACCCCCAAATAGAAGAAATATGTGGGATGTTCAGGGTCTCTAGGGGCCTGCCTGAACCCTGTTCTCTGGCTCTTCTGGCCATTCTCAGTTCCTAGACCCCATGATATCTTCATCATTCTGGAAAAGCAGAAATGGGACAATTCTACCTGCCTGCCCACCTGTCATCAACAAAATTGCTCTCCAGAGGGTTCTTAGAGACACCAGTCATTAAGATCCCAGGCTAAATTGGTTAACTGGGTATGATGTTCTTCATAAAAGGGGCAAAGACAGCAGGCAGGTCATTTTCCAAAGAAAACATAAGAATGCCCTCTGGGGTGGTCTGAACTTAACTTAGTTTCAGTAATCTCCTTCTCACTTGCTTCTACACTTTGACAGGAAAAGCACTGGAAGGGAAAAAAAAAGATTCTATTGTCACTCCTCACCTGGACTGTTATTGAGCTCTGGAGTTCTGAAGTGTTGACTTGGACTCCATTCACTCCAAAAGCCTTTAAAATGGTAGTTAGGGATAGATCGGACTTTAATCTCATACATTGCATCAGGTTGTAGCTTTCTCTGCAGGAGTGTCACCCTTGTGTTGGATACATTCATATGCTAAAGAGTGAAAAGTGCTGTTACATTTTTAGGGTAGAAAAAGAGATATGTTGACTAAATCTCCCAAATCATTTCAAGTGGAACTCTTTTCATCATTCAAGCACTCTCCCAGGGTTCTCTCATATTCATTAGAATAAGGAGTCAGCAGCAGGATTAAGGGCAGAGTTTGGGAGCTCATAAATGATGGTGTGAGTGGCTAAGGAAATCAGTGGAATGATGGGTGAATGTGGCACTCCAACTTTGGGAAGATATAAATCACTTTCAGTCTCCCACCTTCCTTTTCACACTTCAATTCATCTTTTTTTTCCCTCTCCCTTTTCACATTCCAAGGGGAAATGAAAGGTTAAGTTAGTGAGCAGAAATAATTTCCCTCCACAGAGATGCCATTACTATAAATAGTAATATAGAGACAAGTCCCCCCAATACTGTCTATTATCTTTAAGTAGAAAAAAAACTCTATGAATTTGATAGATAGACTATTTCATTGTTATTTATTTTTATTTGATAACTAGTTAGTTTCATGTATATATTGTTGAATTTATATTTTTATTTTGTGAGACTTTCCCAAGTTCTTTACTCAGTTTTCTATTGTGATATTTGCCTTTTTCTTAATAATTTGTGAGTGCTTTATATATTAAAGATATTACCATCTGTCAGCTGTATATGTGGCAGTTTAATCCTGTATATGTGGCAGTTTAATCCTGATTTTTAATTTCCTTATAATTTTTATTATTGTATGTATCGACACATATAAGCCTCTATTTTTTATGTAGTTACACATATCATTCTTTTCCTTTCTTTTACTGCCTTGATGCTTAAAATGTTCTTTTCATGTCAAGATTACATAAACATTTGCCTATTTTTTCTAGCTTGCTTAAAGTTTCAGTTTTATAGAATTTTTAAAAATAATATCTTATTTTGGTGTTGTTATTTGAAGAGTGCTAGGCATTTAACTTAATTTTTATCCCGAATAGTCAGCTGATTGTCCTGCCACCATTTATTCAAAATCTTTTATTTCTCTCTATAGCTGCTTTTCCATTGGTGCAATTTTTAGATGAATAACGGAAGAAGGCAGGATCAAGGGAGTCCAGTTTGTGTGTGTGTGTCAGGGGCAGAGTGAGTGAACAGAAGGAGGGGGCAGGTGATTCAGAGCGTGCATTACATTTATGTGAGGGACACACTGGAGCATACTGTAAACAAATAAGACTTGTTTTGGCCTGAGAAAAGAGAACACTAGGAATAAATAGGCACTCTTCTAGCCTTGAAAAGAAAACTATCATCTATTTTCTGTCCCCGGGGTGCAGAAAGGACAAACGTTATGCTATTGGGTTAAGAGAAACCTCATAATTGGGACATCCTGTTGTTCTTCCACCTCCTCCCCAAAACGTATTTCAGGGACTGTCAGATCATTCCATCCTCAATGAATTACAAAAAGGGATCATGGACCTCCAGATTACGAAGGGTAAAAAATAAGTTGTTTTGTCAAGAGCTAAGACCTGAGGCTTTAAAATAAAAACAACAACCAAAAAAGACTCAGCCTTTCCTTTTTACCTCATGCTGTTTCCTCAAATATCATTAACCAAACTGTGGCTACAACTTGGTAATTGTATCCAGAGATGTTTCTACCTAATTTGCCTATGTTAGTGGTACTAGACATGACACTATTTGAGACCCTGAATAGAGGGTCAATTTTGTCTCAGTCTATATTTTATCCAACTAACTAACTTAAAAACATTCCAAAAACTAGAGCAAGAAAAAAAAAATCAAGCTGAGCACAGTAGCTCATGCCTATAATCCCAGCACTTTAGGAGGTAGAGGCAGAAGGATTGTTTGAGTCCAGTTGTTTGAGACCAGCCTAGGCAACATAGTGAGATCTCGTTTCTACAGTAAAAATAAAAATTTAAAAAAAAAGGAAAAATAAATTAGAGTGACAATAGCATGTGCCAGGGAAGTTCAGGTTTTTGTGAGACCCGAAGCCTATGCAACAGTAGGGGCTTCTTTCAGTAGAAGGTGCTTTTTGAAAACAAAATCATTAGGCACTACAAAATTTATGTAAGTGACCTTCCAGGGGAAATGCACTTCTAGGACAAAAAAGTATATAATAGTATGAAGTCTTATTTTATACGTGTGGTTGATCTACATACCATCCAATTGTTTTCATTCTTTTCCTGGCGGTAAGCTACATCGTGTGTTAACTCTTTTACATACTTCTTTTGCAAGTGTGATGTATTAAATGTCACCACAAAGTCGTTTGCTTCTTCACGATAGATGACACTTAAGTCAAAAGGAGCCTCGGGTTTGACTGGAAAAGATAAAGAAATGAAGTCTGTGTAAAAGGCAGTCTGCATCAATTAATGGCTAACTCAGAAAGCCAGTTCTTCTTCCTGGGTTCAAATTCAGACTTCATTCCCCAGTCTCCTTTGCAGTTGGGTGTGGCCTTGAGAGTATGTGGGCAGAAGTGATTCACACTCACTCAAGTCCTGGCCTAGTCACATGCCTGCGTGTGACTCTCATGTGTGACTCTCATGCTCAGTCCTCTTGCAGCACTTGGAATCATGTGGAGTGGAGGCACAGGATGGAAGGAACCCTGCATACAGCTCGGAGAAGCACCACCCACAGGTTAGAAACACCCGTTTTCACTCTGATGTAAATGAGTAATACACACGCCGCAGTTGAGGTATCATGTTTGGGGACTTATTTGTTACGACAGCTAGCGCTAATGTAATGCCAAAACACATTCAATTTGCCTTTTGAATATTGGAGAACTTGTTACTAACTAGCTTCAAAGCAGGCATATTTAAACTTTGAGTCCTCATTCTTCCAATAAAATTAGATTATATGCTTGGAGATCTTACACTTTGTTTTAGCTACATGGACATCTAGGGTTAGCTTCTTGGCCATGGCTGGTGACTTCCAGAATGGTCTCAGAGTGTCCCCTCTGTCAGTCTCAGCTGCATTAACTCTCAACTCTTCTGGGGCCTCTTCCTTTGACCTGCCTGCCTCTCAGAGTTGTTGTTATGATTGAATATGCCATATAAGCTATGCCTTTGGAAGGAGATAGGTACTATTTTCAAGCAGAACAAAACATGAGAAAGGTAGTGACTTCCTAATAAAGTCTTGAGAGTTCCCTGTACTGGTTTCCTGATTGTTTGTTGACCATAGCTTGGGAAATTACTTGTCTAGGAAAGGGGCACTACTTTCTTGTGTGACTGCTCTCAGACTCTGTTGTTAATGAGAGGGCGTTTGTTCACTAAGCTTTCACTCAGCAGGCTGACCTGTGTTCTAGGCTCTCTAAGCTGAACTTTAGATTGACTTGCTTGCCCAATAAAATGAAACTCTTATGGCAGAATTTGGGCCCATTGCTGTAGTTACTTGTTCACAGTGGTGACTGCCTAAGTTTCTCCTGGCAAGCCCTAGAGGTGCTGAAAAAAGAAGTGACTTCTTTACCCTTGGATGTCTTATAAAAGGGAAAGTTACCCTTTTTCACCCTTTGATGCACTATCAAAAGGGAAGATGCCCTAGATGGAAGCAGGAGGAAAGGCACTGGGTGTGGAGGAACAGCCCAACAGAGAATCCCAGCAACCTTCTCACACCTGCCATGCCATTTCTTGTCCTTCACTCCATCCTCAACAAGACCTTCTGAGACTGAAGTCCTTGCCCTGTGCTTATCTTTCAATAATGGAGGAAGTAAGGGAAGAACACACCTACTAAGTGCTTTGTTCACCATTTCTTCAAACAAAAGGCACTTGTCACCACTATATTGATGGTGAAACTGAGTATCAGAGAAGTTAATTAACTTACATGCAGACCTTTATAGAATGATCTAACGGGCTTTACTCCTATTCTGTCATATTCTGAGGTTTGCTGTTCTTCATTTAGCTTTTGTTTCTATACCCTGTTACTTCACACTGACTTGTCCAAGCACTCTCTTGCCAAGCTTACCTCTAGTTCAAATGGTATCTTTGAGAAAATTATAAAAAGGTGCTCGTTCCTCAAGCAGCATTTCTAAAAGGTAATATATTCTTGTACAATCTGGACAATCATATCAATCTATTCTGCCAAGAAAAGTGGCAAGGCAAAAAGCTGCTCCCCTGAAGCCTTCATGGGTGTTGAGACAGCTAAACAAGGGAAGGAAAGTGAGGGGCAACTGGTTGCAGAAGAGCCTGGCTCTAAGGTTCCATCAAGAGTATCCAGTTTATATTCAGTTAAATGGTAGTTCCATTCATGAAAGGTCACATTAGAAACCAGGGCAAAATGCTGCTGTGAGACTCACCTCCACCACCTCTCATCCCATGGCCTAAGGGTCTCCCCCAAACTTCAAGTGACTCACAGCAGCCCTCCCACAGGGCCCTGGGCTCCCAGCAGTGTGCATACCTTGCCTTTCTCCTTGACCCTCAGATGAGGCATGTCAGGCTTGCGGTCTGCTGGGGATGCAGAATGTGGGCTTCTAAGAGCATTGGGCACCTGAGATCTGAAGATTTGGAGATGACAGGGTGTCACCTGGAGGCTCTGTTTACCTGCATGCAGGAGTTGGTGTGCTGGTGTGGGTTCATGTAAAAATGGGCTCTCCAAGGCCGGGCTTGGGGGTTCAGCCTATAATCCCAGCGCTTTGGGAGGCCAAGGTGAGTGAATTGCCTAAGCCCACAGGTTCGAGACCCCATCTCTACAATAAATAAAAAAAATTAGCCAGGCATGGTAATGCATGCCTGTAGTTCCAGCTACTTGGAAGGCTGAGGCGGAAGGATCGCCAGAGCCCAGCAGTC